TTCCTGGGAGAGACTAATGTGGGAAAGCCTGGGACCCCTGCAGTGGGGAAGATGGAAATGGGCAATACTGGAACCGTGGGGCCTCTGGCAGACTGGAGGTGGGAGTGATATGGATAGGGGAGAGCCCTGGGTACCCTGGAGCTTGGAATGGGGGGCTGGGAGAGGAGGGAGCCCAAGAGCGCAGAGGGGCACGGAGATCACTGAAGTATAGGCTGGAAAAAGGGGGGGTCTGGAGAGGGACAATTCCTGGGACTGCTAACAGGCTTGAGACAGGGAACCCCTAATAAAACGTGGGACCTTCAGCAGTACAGGCAGGGGGAGCCCCAAGAACCTCAAAGTGGAGAGACCAGAGATGGGTTTTGGGCTGAATCTTGGTGTTTTGAAAATCTCTGTGGACACAAGATGCCTGGTGACTTCTAGAGATAGACTTGGGCAGGAGGAACCTCCAACCCAACATGCTCACACCTTGTTTATCCTCCCAAAAAAGGATTTCTTATTCCAAAACTTGGCCAGATTTCTTATTCCAAAACTTGGAGGAGGAGGCTGCAAGGAAGAGGAATGTAGGAATGCAGCTGGCTAGGATGAATAGTGGTTTAGCCTCAGTGGCATATACAGGAGGCATCAACCTGAGACCATGGGAAACAGGACACTGAAAGAGAGCTATCTGGTCAGGTCATGGTGAAAAGAGTGTTGTCATGGGAGTTAGTATGTTGATGGTATGTTAATGGAAATATCCTATATTAAGTCACGTTTCTTGTTCTTGTTCTCAGCTGGTTCAGGACCTGTCACATATAAGGTCATGTTGCAAGTTCGTGTTGCTGATTGGACCCCTGTCCTCAGAACAGCCCTATATATTGTTATGTTCGCCCCTCCTATCATTGGATCTTGCCCCTCAGATGGTGTGGTTTCTGTGTTTGTTATTTTGCTGTTAAAGTTCTCTATTTTTCGGGCAAATCCACCGTTCCCATCTCTCTATTTTGCCACATTGCCCCCAGCTGGACTGGACTCGGGGTTGCAGCGAGCCAGACTGCGATAGAGGAAGATGCCCCAGGACACACAGGCAGGTAGAAGGAAGTCACTGCCCTTTTCCCCCTCCTCTATCTTTTAGCTGAAAATTACCCTGGGCTGCAGGACAACCCCACTGCCGATGCTGTCCTGCTGGGGGATTTCCTTCTCCTTCCCTCTGCCATGGAGGAAAATCCCATCCTCTCCTTGTCCTTCCTACCTGGGCACTGAGCTGCAGACAGAGACCAGGGAGAACAAATCTCTGCAACAGAACCTCCTGGAAGAGGCAGAGATCCCACACGAGGAGGGGCTGCAAACCCAGTCCAGGGTGCTCTGAGGAGGAAAGACCCACCTTGTGCCGGGAAGGCAGCCAGAACTTCAGCCAGAGCTCTGACCTGGGCGTCCAGCAGCATATTCACAGGAAAGAGAAATGCTACAAGTGCTTCTTGGAATGTGGGAAGAGCTTCCGCAACAGCTCCAACCTCGTCATCCACCACTGGGTGCACACGGGGAAATGGCCATAGGAGTGTAAGGAACGTGGGAAGAGCTTCACTCAGAGCTCCATCCTGATCCGCCATCAGAAGATCCACACAGGGAAATGGCCCTAAAAGTGTTTGGAATGTGGAAAGAGCTTCAGTGACCGCTCTCACCTCCTCTGGCACCAGAAGGTCCATACTGGGGAATAGCCCTGTGAGTGTCCCAAGTATGGGACGAATTTCTACTGGAGCTCCCACCTCGTCACCCAGAGCGATGCCTTGACCCCACACCAGTGGTTCCATTTGTAAGGGAAGCCCTGCAAGTGCCCTGACTGTGGGAAGAGCTTTTGTCCAACCTTATCACCCATCAGAGGACAAATATTGGATGATCCATGGTGACCCCCATTGGGCAGAGACCCGGTGGTCTACACTGGAAAAAGACAGCTTGACCAATGTTCCTGGTGAACCACATTGAGCAGAGACCTGCTTACCCATGTTCCAAGTGATCCACATTGGGAAGACATCTGGCTAGTGGTGTCCATATCCTCCTTGTTCCCCACAGGCACCCTGATGAATGCAGAGGAAGGAACATCCATTAGAATGCAGGCCAACATTGGAAATTCATTGGGAAGAGCAGTCTTGTTGACTTTAGACCCCAAAAAATATCACCAGCAGCCACCATGCATTTCTTTAGGAGGCATCAAGCAAAATGGGATGATCTTTGAGGTCTTTTGCAACAAAGAGGTCTTTTTAATTTTATTGTTCTAATTCTCTATGGCCCACAGGCATCTTCCACAGACAAGTGGTGATGGATTGGTGCAAAGACCAAACTATTCAAATCAAGGCTCCAAAAAGGGTTCTTCCCACCCAAACAACCCAGCAACAGATAAACTCACCTGAGACCAATATGTAAATCCTTCAATTTGGACCTTTGTTTTCTTTTGAGCCATTTTAATCTCTTACAAACTGATTAAATTTGGGCTAAAATAAAGTAATTAAACAAAGATCTTCAAACCCCAACTATTTCAATTTGATTTCAAGGAGAATTTGGGATTTAGGGGGATAATCAGGAGGATTTGGGGATTTTTGTGGAGATTTGGGGTTGTTTTCCTCAAAAACAGGGCTGCTCATGCAAGGTGATTGGGGTCATGATCTCATAGTTGTGCCAAGAGTATGTGTCCCTGTAGTGCAGTACCTGAGCCCATCTCTTCTCCAGTAATTCCAGTTGGGTGTTCCAGTACTGGGCCTGGGTGTTCCCATATGGGGTATCCCCTCAAAGTGCTCAAATCACTGTTGAAGTGCTAGAGCTGCTTTAGGTTATAGATGTTCTTCTCCATGAGCCTCACCCGCTCAGGGCTGTTCAGGAAGTGACACCAGGCTTTTCCCATCCACAGGAACACCACTGTGTGGGCAAGGAGGCAAGTTGGGGGATGCACCCCCCTACCCCCACCACCCTACATCAGGTTGGAAGCTCAGGGGGCCACTCTGGATCCCCCTTTCCAGCCCCCACTCTGCCACGTGGCCGCTGCAGCACCAGCTGCTGTGTGAGGGGAAGTCCCCCATTTGCTCCCGAGGGATGGACAGGGGGATTGGGGCCCCTCCCCGTGTGGATCTCATCCCCCACGGAGCCCCAAGGAATCGCTCCAGAGATCAAGTGATGGGGAATGCAAAGGGTCGCCCACTGGGAACCCTTTTCCCACTGTTCCACCTTCCCTTATGCGTCCTCTCAAACACCTTTCAGTTCCCTCTCCTGCCTCCCTGCTCAACCCAGAGCCGGGGTGCTCCCAGCAGCAGCAGTGCCACCAGTGCGGTCGCAGCTGCCGCCCCTCGCCCCGCGGCAGCGCCGGGCAGGGGCCGCAGCCCCAAAGCAGCTGCGCTGCACCGGGAGCACCAGCCCGGAGCAGTCGGGACCAGTTTGGCCCGTGGGCAGCATCAGCCGTGCCTGGGCAGGGCCGGGCCCCCATCTGCACTCCCCCTGCCTCAGCTGCCCCCTCGGAGACAGCTTGGGGGGCCCGCTCCTGGCGCTCTCCATGTGTTCCCTTCCCAAATTCTCCTGGCAGGGAGCGCCGGGGGTGGGGGTCACACTGGAGTCCAGGTGAGGAGGCTGAGCACTGCGGGTCTGCCTGGACACTGCCGAGTCACCAGCACCAAGTGCTCTGCTCGGCTGAGCTCTGCCTGAGGGCTGGAGCTGCGGCAAGGGGGGCACCCTGCTCCAGGGGGGATGTCCGGCAAACGGGGGACTCTCACAGGCCTCTCACTTGTAATCCCCTCCAGCGGGTTAACCGTGACTGGATGCAAGGTGCCACCAAAACTGCTTTGTCCCTGCCCTCCGCACCTGGACAGGGAAGAGAAAATAAAAGGCAAGGCGCAAGAATTGAAATATGGACCAGGAGGGATTGCTCCACAAACACTGTCACAGGCAAAACAGACCCACCCTGGGGAAAGGACCTCAATTTATTACCAACCAAATCGGAGCAGGATAATGAGAAGGAAAATAACTTAAAAACTCCTTCCCCCAGCCTTCCTCCTTTCCCAGGCTCTCCCTCCTCCCTCCAGCAGCACAGGAAGATGGGAATGGGTGTCATGGTCAGTTCATCGCACCTTGCTCCTCTTCCTGCTGCGCAGGGCGAGAAGTTTAGGAGTCCTTCCCCTGCCCCAGCGTGGGTCCTCACAGGGCCTCAGGTCCTTCCAGCAAAGCTGCTCCAGTGTGGGCTCCTCTGCCCAGGGATCCACAGGGCCCTGCATGGAGGCTGCTCCAGCACGGGCTTCCCACGGGCTCACATCCTTCTTTTTGGGCATCCCCTTGTTCCAGCGTAGGCTCCTCCAGCGGCTGCAGGAGAATCTCAGCTCCGGCACGTGGAGCAGCTCCTGCCCCTCCTTCTGCACTGCCCTGGGTGTCTGCAGAGCTGTTCCTTTCACATGTTCCCACTCTGCTCTTCTCTGGACCCAATTCCATCTGCACAAGAACTTTTCCCTTCTTGAATCCATTATCCCTGGGGTGTCACTGCCATCTCCTATGGGCTTGGTGTTAGCGAGTTGTGGGTCCATCCAGAAGCTGGTGCTGGCTTTGCTGGACATGGGCAAATTTCTGGCAGCTTCTCACAAAAGCCATCCCTGTAGACCCCTACTTCCAAAACCTGGCCACACAAAACCAGTACATGGGCCACCTGGAACATGGATCACCGGTCTCAGCCCAGTAAGGGTCACTGTGAATCATCCAGTGTGGGTCCTCTGATGGGTGATGAAGTTGGAGCAGCAGACAAAGCTCTTCCCACAGACAGGGCATTCACAGGGTGTTGCGGAGTGTCCACAGTGAGCCTCTGTTAACGACCTGCACTCCCAGAGCCCAGAGCAGGCTTGCTTAAACTGCTGACAAACAAGGCCAGAGATAGGTCTCTGTGTGGAGCTCCAAACCTGGTTTATTGCAATGAAGAGGGCTCAGGGACAGAGGGCTGAGGACAGGGTTTTACATGGCGGGGGGGGGGGGGGGGGAGGGGGGGGTCGGGGGAGTGTGGGGGGGGGGGGGGGGGAAGAGGCGGATCTGAGGGTCAAGGGCCAATGGGAACTGAGTACAAACAACACAGACGAGGGGCAGCCACCTGGGGAACCAATGAGGCAACAGGGGCAGAGCATTGCAGTAAACCGGGACCAACAGGGGACAAGAGAAAGGAGATCATTCTAGGGGGAGTACATATAAGGAAAAAACGGCAGTTGAACCGGGTGATACCAACGAAGCCTGCTGCATTAACACGAGCCTGCAAACACCTATGGGTAAGACCATTGTATTCAGAGGGCTGTCTCTCTCTGACCCTCGTCACCTTTGCCCTTGCAGGGCTCCAACGCTGGGCCCCTGGGCCTCCACAGCATGACCTGCATTACAAGTGGGACTGTTGGTGTTGGGTCAAGCCAGAGCTGCTGGAGAAGCTTTTCCCACACTCCTCACACTCGTAGGGCCTCTCCCCGGTGTGGGTGCGCCGGTGCAGGGTGAGGTGGGAGTTGCGTTTGAAGCCCTTCCCGCAGTCGGGGCAGCGGAAGGGCCGCTCGTCTGTGTGAATGCGCTGATGCAGGAGGAGATGGGAGCTGGTCCGAAATCTCTTTGCACACTCAGGACACTCATAGGGCCGTTCTCCACTGTGGATCTTCTGGTGCTGGATCAGGTCAGAGCTGGTGCTGAACCTCTCCCCACACCCCCCACCCTCAAAGGGCCGTTCCTTGGAGTGCAGGCGCTGATGGGTGAGGAGGTTGGAGCGGTCATTGAAGCTTTTCCCACATTCCTTGCACTTGTAGGGCCGTTCCCCTGTGTGAATTACCAGATGGCGGATCAGACAGGAGCTCCTGCTGAAGCTCTTCCCACATTCCAAGCATTCATAGGGGCGTTCCCCTGTGTGGATCATCCGGTGGCGGAGGAGGTGGAAGCTCCGGCTGAAGCCCTTCCCACATTCCAAGCATTTGTGGGACTTCTCCCCAGCTTGAGGCTTCTTCATCAGCTCTGAGTTCCAGCTGAAGCTCTGGCTGCCTTCCTGCTCCTCCCTGGAGCATCCTGGGGTGCGTTTGCAGCCCCTCCTTGTGCGGGATCTCTGGGACTTCTCTTCCCCATTGGCTTCCTGCACTGTGGAGGCACTCAAAACAGCCTCTTCCGCAATGTTCTGCCAGGGGGATTTCTCCTCCTTGATCTCTGCCTTCAGCTCATAGCCTGGGGGAGGAAGGACAAAGAGATTCCCCCAATCTGTGCCCGGCAGGACGGGCAGCAGGGTTTGTCCTGCAGCTGGGGGTTGTGCTGAGCTGGGAGATGGAGCAGAAATGAGGGGGAAATGGGAAGTGACTTCCTCACCTGCTTGGCTGTCTTGGAGCATCTGCCTCTTCCTTACAGCCTCCTCCTCCATTCAGCCAAGTCTTAGGAACGACAAATCCTGTTTTTGGGGGAAAACAATGTGTGAGTGTGCTGAGTTGGAGGTTCCTCCTGCCCAAGTCCATCTCTAGAAGTCATCAGGTATCTTGTGTCCATGGAAACCTCTGAAAAACCACAATGCAGAAAAAAACCCCCTCCAAAATATTAAGATTCAGCAAAGGAGTCCTCCAAGTTTCCCCCCTCTCTGGTCTCTCCATTTTGGGGTCCTGGAGGTCTTCCCTCCCCTGGGTCTTGCTTAGGGTTGCTTGAAGTTTTAGAGGTCCTAGGGGTCCCTTCTCCTCTGAGTCTCTGTTTCGAGTGCTGGGGGTCCCAGGGTTCCTGCTTTTCAGGCTCGCCCCACTCCCGGGTGCCGGGGACATCCCCCCTCCCAGTCCCCCGTTTCAGGGTCGACGGAATCCTGCCCTCCCCGTTAACTCTGTGCTTCCTCCTTTCTAGTCTGCCGGGGGTATTCCAAACAGGTATGGCCCCTCTCCGGTCTCCCCCGCCAGGGGCAGCCAGGACCGGTGTCCCCTGCTCCCGCCGGGCGATGTCCAGCTGGCGTGCATCCCCGCATCCTGCCCGCCGCCGCCTGGGCTCTGCCGGCAGGCACGGCTGGGATCCCCCCTCGAACAAAACAACCCCCGGGGACGCCCGAGATATGTGGGGTAAGCTCCTCCTCCCCGGTCACCTGTGGGATGCGGCGGGGCAGATGCTCCACGGGCCGGGAGGGCTGCGGACACAGGGCGCGGTGGACACGCGAATTTCCTCTCCTTCCTCTTCCTGCTACTTTTTCTTCTTGTCCTCTGCAGAAGATCAGACAGCTACAGAAGCTGACCTCCTGGCCCTGGTACATAAGGCAAGAACAAAAATGCAGACTCCTCTTCCTCGTCGTCTTCCGGCTTCTCCTCCTTTTCCGGCTCCTGCTCCTCCTCTTCCTCTCCCCTCGCGCTGCCTCAGCTCCCCCCTGTCCGCTCCTGCGGATGGGACGGGACGGGACGGGACGGGGGAGGAAGGGAGAAGATGGTGGAGGAGGTGGGTCAGTCCCGAACCGAGATGGGGGGAGCTGGGATTTGGGGGGAAAGAAGTGGGAGAGGGAAGATGAAGGGAGGTGGCACAGCTAAAGTGGTTCCCGAAGGGGGTCCCTTCCTATCTGCCGTACCTAATCCCTGGAGGGGTTCCCTGCGGCCCTGGGGGAAGCGGATCCTCACTGAGGGGCTCATGGGGCAGAGGGGAGTGGGAAACGGGGATCCGGTATGGCCTCCTGAGCTTCCAGTCGGCTGTGGGGTGCTGGAAGTGCTGTGGCGGGGGGCACACCATGACCTGTGTCCCTGCCCAAAAAGGGGTGTTCCAGCGGACGGGAAAGGCGGAGTGCCACTTCTAGGACGGCATTCCAGAGTGGAGCTGGGCAGGAACAGCTCGGGCACTCCGCTGGAAGCCGCTCTGCATCATCCTATGCTGATTCTCGTCTACCGCTCACCCAGCTCCGGGCTCTGGAAATTCTCTTCTTCCATCTGCATTCATCACCTACCAGCACCGGCACACGGGGAATAGCCTTACAAGTGTGAGGAATGTGGGAAGAGGGTTCAGAACATCTCAGATCTCATGAAACATCAGTGGACACACTCGGGAAAATCTCTACCCCAGCCCCCCTCCTGTCAAGCCACACCATGATCTGAGAAATACTTGTTTAGGCCTTGGCCTTGACAAGCAGCCCCTGGGCTTAGCTCCTCTTGAGTCTCTTGAGTTTCTCACCAACATTGTCTGTGTCTGTTCCAGGAACTGGTGCTGCTCAACAAGCTCCAACAACCTTGGAAACTTTTTTTTTTTTTTTTTTTAATGCCTGAATAACATCCCAAATGGGATCATATTTTTGGTCTCAACCTTTCCCAGAAAGTCACCAACCTGAGCTGGGGCTAGGATGGAAAATGTCTGTGACTAAAGCCCATCCCTTGAGCCCTATAAACAGCAGCCCTGAGTGAGACCCTTGGAACTCTCCTGGGCCGCAGCAGCTGCAACAGCAGCTGTGAACTCTCCTGTTTGCTGCACTTGGGGCATCCCCAAATGATGACGGGTCCTGGGCTGAGCCCCTCAACTCCTTGAGGCTCTGCCCTGCACCTGGTGGGAAGATGCAAAGGCAACTGAAAGGAGAATTCCACTGGATTCCAGGGGAATTCCCCACAGGGACCTCGTACAGACTCCTCCTGTCCATATGTGTGTGACACTGAATATGCCATAGCAAATGTCCTGGGAATGCCGCTCTCCTGGAGTCGGAAGTACTTAAGGTATGTAAGCCAGTTGGGCCTGTGGGTATGTTCCTGTTGTGGTGTAATAAATTGTATGTGAAGTTACTGATTAAGTTTCAGTTAAGTTTAAGTTAAGTGCTATTGGGGCTTTAAGCATAAACTGTTGAAATCCAGGCTCAGTTCTGCACAGGTGTCTACTCTGACCCTTGTGACTCAACAGTGGGGTCTTTCATATTCCTTTTTATCCTTACCCTTTTCTGTTTTCTTTTCCCTCATCCCTTCCTCCCCCAGAACCTCCTGAGGTACATAAAAAGTTTGGGGTTTATTTCAGTTTGGATTGATTGATTTTTGATTTTCGTTTCCTTTTTCTTGGCGTGCTTTAGCCAGGTAATCTTCCCTTCCTCTCTCCCTCCTTCTCCTCCTCCTCCATCCCTTCTCCTCTTCTCCCCGGGACCAGCACCCACTCTTGGTCTCCTGTGCCTCCCAAACCCACAGCATCCCACAGGAGGGGCAGGGATGAAGCTGGGGCAGGTTGGGCTGGGGCAGTGCTGGGCTCTTGGCTGCTCCTGCCCACACTCAGCCCCCACTGCAGCTACCACTGCCAGGACAGTGTAGGGGGGGGCAGGCTGGATGCCCTCCATCTTCCCCCTCATCAAATTCCCCTCCTGGGGGGTGCTGAAGGTGAGGGGGGGTTCAGGTGGGATCCACGTGAGGAATGTTGGGTGCTGTGGGTCTGCCTGGCAGCTGGTGAGTCATCAGCCACCCCCTGCAGAACTGGGGGATACCCTGCAACCCCTTCAGGAACGGCGTCCCCCTGGCCCCTTCCTCCTCAGCCTTCAGCTGTCTCATTTCAGACCCCATCTGACCCCTCCTAATCCCCATCCCACCCCTCCCAATTCACATGCCACTTCTCCCAAATCCCATCTCACCCCTCCCAATCCCTATCCCATCTGCCCCAGTCCATATCCCACCCCTCTCAATTCATATCCCACCCCTCCCTATCCCCTTCCTTCCCCTCCAGGGTCTGGAGTGCTGTGGTATTGAATATTTTTGGGGTGGTATTGAGTCATTTTGAGGTGTGATTGAGCCTTTTTGGGCTGGGATGCAGACACTTTCAGTGGCATTGAGTGGTTTTGAGATGATGGATAGAACCCCTCACCTTTTGGGGTGCAGAGTAATGGAGGAAACTCCTGTAAATTCCCTCAAAAACCCCAAATCCCCCCAGACTACAAATTCCCCCCCAGTCCTTTTAAAATGGTGGGGTTTTACACATCTTTGATGAGGTTCTTTATTTTTACCCAGTTTTGGGTGCTTTTAAAGGATAGATCACAAGAAAAATCAAGGCCAAAATTAAAGAAGTTACGTGTCAGCATTGTTTGAGTATCCATGGGGTCGGATTGGGTTGGGTGGGTTAAAGAGCCTTTTTTGGAGGGGTTCCCACAAAATTGTCTCCAAAATCTTGGTCTCTGCCAGTGCTGGATTACCATGTGTGTGACCAACTTGAATCACCAGGCTGATTCAAGTCCAAACATGGTCACCATAGATAACACAATGTAGGTTCTCTAATGGGTGAACTTGGAGCAGTGAACAAAGCTCTTCTTGCAGGCAGGGCCCTCGCAGGACTTCCCTTACCTGTGAGACTGTTGGTGTTGGGTCAAGGCAGAGCTGCAGGAGAAGCACCTCCTGAAATAAATGGGCAGGAGATCTTTCTCCTTTTTAATGCCTTTAAAAGAAGAATCAAATGCCTTTTGAAGAAAGGAATTAAAAGAAGAATTGAATGAATTCAATTCAATGAATTGAGGAGGAATGAAAAGAAGAATTAAATGCCTTTAAAAGAAGAAGAATTTAATGCCTTTATTAAGAAGAATCAGCTCAGGCGGGGAGAAATCGACAGGTCGCGCCCACGCCGCCGCTGCTCCTGGGCGTGTCATGGAGGAGGAGGGTGATGCAGCTTTGTCCGCTGGTCTGCAGGCAGAGCTGGGGATTCCGTCCTCATGGGAGAGTAGCAGATTCCTGACTTTTTTGTCTAACACCTCGGGGCATCTCTTTAATCAACATCTTTTCAGGTTAGGGTGAGACACAAAAAGGATCCAAGCAGGTATGGGACTATGCTCCCATCCTTAGACGTCACTTAGGTCACTTGTTGGCTCGTAATTTGAGGGGATTTTCCTGGGAAAAACTAAAAATTCGGGGCCCAATGCATTTCTCATCTGCATGCTGGCTCTGATGTCACTGCTATTTTCCTCGTACCCGTACTTGGAGCGTCTGTCCTGTGTCCCTCCCTGGCAAGCGGCCAGCATCAGGGGAACAATGGTTAATCACCGGCCATTAACAGGTAATTGAAGAACTTTTCTTTGGCAGTGAAACTAACTTACAACAACTGGTCTGACTTGTTTTTAACTCTGCAACCAAAAAAAAAAAAATAGATAGCTTTCTATTCATAACACCTCCCACACTTGGGACATTCCTAGAGCCTCCTCCTGGTGTGGATGCTCTGGTGTCAGATCAGGTTGGAACAGTCACTAAACCTCTTTCCACATTCCCTGCACATGTAGGGCTGTTCCCCAGTGTGGATGCTCTGGTGGCAGACCAGGCAGGCACTTCACCTGAAGCTCTTCCTGCATTCCAAGCATATGTAAGGCCATTCCCTAGTGTGGACCTTCTGGCGGTAGATCAGATGGAAGCGGAGGCTGAATCTCTTTCTGCATTCCAAGTACGGGTAGGGCCGTTCCCAGTGTGGATCTTCTGGTGGCACATCAGGCTGAAGCTCTGGATAAAGCTCTTCCCACATTCCAAACACTTTTAAGGGCTGTTCCCCACATGGATCTTCTGGTGGCAGTTCAGGCTGGAGTTCTGGCTGAAGCTCTTCCCACATTCCTCACACTCATAGGGCCAATTCCCCATGTGCACCCAATGGTGGGTGAGGAGGTTGGAGCTGTTGCTGAAGCTCTTCCCACATTCCAAGAAGCCCTGGTAGGGTTTCTCCCCATCGTGAAGCTGCTGGTCAACCACCAGGTCAGAGCTCAGCTGCCTTCCCAACACATGGGGGGTCTTTCCTCCTCAGAGCACCATGGGCTGGATTTGCAGGCCCTCCTTGTGGGGGATCTCCATGGTTTTTCCTCCCTGTTGACTTTCATGTGCTGTGGAGCCACTAAAAATGGCGTTTTTCATAAGGTTCTGCCACGGGAACTTGTTCTCTTGGGTTCCATCCACAGCTCAGTGCCTGGGGGAGGAAGGAGATTTGCTTCCATGCCAGAGGGAAGGGGAAGGAGATCCCCCCAGTCTGTGCCTGCAGGATGGCATTGGCAGCAGGGTTGTCCTGCAGCTGGGGGCCATGCTGGGCTGGGAGATGGAGCAGGAGAGAGGGGAAAGGGGCAGTGACTTCCTCCTCACCTGCCTGGGTATCCTGGAGTATCTTCCCCACAGTCTTCTCCATACAACCAAGGCTTGGGAATGACAAATTCTGTTTTGGGTGAAAAAAAAAAAATCAAGGTATGAGCTCATTAGGTTGGGGTTCCTCCTACCCCAATCCATCTCTATATATATCTATATGGTCATCTTGTATTATCTAAAAGCCTCAGAAACATGAAGACTCAGTGTCAAAAACCCTCACAGGAGTTCTCCCTTTCTAATTGCCTCTTTCTGGAGTTCTGCAGGTGCCCCTTCACTGGGCTGCTGGGGGTCCTACGGGTTCTGGGCTTCCCCTCTTCTTGGGTGTTGTTTAGAGATGTCTGGGGTCCCAGGGGTTCCCCTGATAAGAGAAATGGGTCTTAATGTCTTCACAAAAGACTAGGTCTGGAAGAACCAATCAGGTTCTGAAAGAAGGTGTGTGAAGGTCTTCATGAACATGTTGAACATGTCATGAACAATATGACTTTGTAGCAGAACCCAGACAGTTTGAACTTCTGAGCTTTAGGGGAATATGCAGTAGGTGGTTCAGGTGGCTGTACCTCAAGAAATGGGGAAACAAAGAGGGCAATACGCAGCCAAAATTTCAGGATAAAATGAGGTTGCATCCTTTTATGAGCCCTAGTGGACTCTGTCCCTTTGTTCGATAAGGTTGCAGGGCTCCTCTGTCTTTGTGTGAAAAACGCCAATCACTTGTTTTTGAAATTTTAAAAGTTTAATAGTAATAAAATAGTTATAAAAATAGTAATATAATTAGAATAATAAAATTTGAACATTTGAGATTAGGACAATATGAGACAATAAAAACAAAGAGATACGGACGTCTGAGTACCTTTTTCTGGGCAACACAAGCCTGAAAAAGGACCCCCGTTAACAGAGGATTAACCCTTAAAAACAATTGCCTGTTGCATATTCATACATCTCATACATGATGCATAAATTCCATTCAAACACAGGATTCTGTCTGGTCACTGTCAACTTCTTCCTCTTAATCCTCATGCCATCTTCCTGTCTGAGCGAGGTGGGAAGAAGTTAGTTTTCTGCTGAAAAGGTAGCAATAAATTCCCTTTTTCTGAAAGGTTTAGGTGTCTTGTGGCTTCTATCTGGTGCGAGTCCTTTCTTAAACATCTTGCATAGCATAGTTTCTATTTTAACATTATGTTATAACCTAAAACTATAATTAATACTCTACTTAAGAAAATTAATATAGCATAACTTTCTAGCATAATACAATATTTATTTTAATACTTGTGAAAAGCCAATCATAAAATACACATTTTTCACATTTGTGAGCACTGGCTCTTCACAGCGTGGTTTTTCCACACACCCATCTCCAGGCTCCCCCCTCTCCAGGCTGACAGGTTATGGCTCCTCTGTTGCCCCCTCTGTTCTCCCCTCTCTGCTCCAGACTGCCGGGGATTCTGCCTCCTCCATGTCCTCATTTCAGGATCTTGGGGTTTTCCCCCTCAGCTCGCCCCCGCTGCCGGCACTTGGCGATCGCCGTACGGCTCCAGGACCCCGCATCCCCCCGCCCACCACCACCGCTGCTCTGCCGCAGCCGCCACCGGGACACCCCCAAAAAAACCCCACCTGTAGTGTTATGAATAAAAAGTTAACTATTTTTTTTAAGGTTGCAGAGTTAAAAACAAGTTAGACCAGTTGCTGTTAAGTTAGCTTCATTGTTAAGAGTTCTTCTTCGGTTACCTGTTAATGGTTGGTGATTAACCATTGTCCCCCTGATGCTTGCCAGGGACCCTGCAGGTACCAGGAGAATGGGAGTGGCATCAGAGCTAGTATGCAGATGAGAAATGCATTGCACCAAATTTTGCAGTTTTCCAGGAAAACCCCTAAAAATAACGAGCCAACATAGAACTAGGGGACCTAAGTGATGTCTAAGGATGGGAGCGTGGTCCAGTGCCTGCTTGGATCCTTTTTGCTTCTCACCCTAACCTAAAAAAATGTTGACTAGAGAAATGACCCGGGATGTTGGACCGAAAAGGTGGAATCTGCTAATCTCCAGTGAGGATGGAATCCCCAGATCTGCCTGCAGACCAGCGGACAAAGCTGCATCAGCATCACCCTCCTGCTCCGTGCCACTCCTGGCAGCAGCGGCGGCGTGGGGGCGACCCGTCGATTTCTCCCCGCCTGAGCTGATTCTTTTTAATAAAGGCATTAAAAAGGAGAAAGACCTCCTGCCCATTTATTTCATGTAGGGTATGCCCCGAGATGTTTAGGGCAGGCTCACCTGAAGAATGCTGTGGGCAGTACAGAGAGTGGTGGACCCCCTTCTCCTCCATTTTCATCCCTCCTCTTCCTGCTCCTCCTGGTCTTGCTCCTGCTCCTCCTCTGTGGCCACCCTTTCTCCCCCTCTGTACCATGGCCACCCTAAGCTAACCCTAACCCCACAACAGCACTGGCTACGGAATGGGGTAACCCCCCAACCCCCCCAATCACCTCCACAGGATTGACCGGAAGCGTGGGGACTCCCTCCCCGCCCCAGTGTGGATCCGCCTCCCTCCTCCCAAGCCCGAAGGAACAGCTCCGAGGCTCAAGTGATGGAGGACAGCCAGGGATCCCATAGGAACCTCTTTCCCGCTGTCCCACCTCCTCTTATCCCCCCTCTCCCACTCATTCCTGTCGTCCCTCCAAACTCCAGCTACCCCTCACCACAGTTTAGGAGTGACCAACCCCGCGTCTACCTCAGAATGCGGTTCCACGCCCTGTTATTCCAACGCTTCTCCCGCTTTTCCACCATCACCCCTTCCCTCCCACAGCCAGGGAGGCAGGCAGCCTTCCTTCCTTCCTTCCTTCCTTCCTTCCTTCCTTCCTCTCCTTCCCTTCTCTTCTTTCTCCTGTTATTCAAGTTTCTTTCTTTTTGTTCCTTTTTCTCCTACTCCTTTCTATTTTTTTCTTCTTTTCCTTCTTCCTCTCCTACTTCTCACCACTTTTTTTACATGTTCCTTCCTCTCTTTGTTCTACTTCCTCCTTCTCCTTGCCTCCTTGCTAATTTCTCTCATTTTTCTTTTTCTTTTTGTTTTCCCTTTTTTTATGCTCTCTTTCTTCCTTCTCTTTGTTCTTTCCTCTCCTTCTTCCTTCCTTCCCCAGACAATTAGCTGTGGATGGTGATCAAAGGGGACAAATTCCCCCAGTAGAACCTTGTGGAAGAGGCTGTTTTGAGCGGCTTCATGGCTCAGGAATCCAACAGGGATGGAGATCCCCCATGAGGAGGGGCTGCAAACCCAGCCCAGGAGCTCTGAGGAGGAAAGACCTTCCCTGTGCCAGGAAGGTGGCCAGAGCTTCAGCCAGAGCTCTGATCTGGGGGTCCAGCAGCGGCTTCATGATAGACAGAAGCCCTACAAGTGCCTGGAGTGTGGGAAGAGCTTCAGCTGGAGCTGCCACCTGACCCACCACCAGGTGATCCACACTGGGGAACGGCCCTATGAGTGTTGGGAATGTGGGAAGACCTTCAGTGATGTCTCCATCTTCGCCTCCCATCAGCAGCTGCACACTGGGGAATGTGCCCATAAATGTGGGCAATGTGGGAAGACTTTCAGCCAGAGCTCCGTCCTCCTCACCCACCAGCGCCTGCATACGGCGGAATGGCCCTTGGAGTGCCCTGACTGCAGAAAGAGCTTTGTCATCCACTGCCACGTCCACAGTGGGAAGAAGCCTTATGAGTGTCCTGGGTGTGGGAAGAAGTTTCGAGCAGCTAAATTCTCATCAGGCATCAGCAAACACACATGGAGGAGAGAACTTATGAGTATCCTGACTATGGCAAGAGATTTTGGAATAGCTCACATCTCATCAGGCATCAGGGGACACATACCAGGGAGAGGCCCTACGAGTGTCCCAAACGTAGGAAAAGATTCAGCCAGAGCTTTGCCTTGACAAAATACCAACAGACCCACCAGTAAGGGAAGCCCTGCAAGTGCCATGACTACAGGAAGAGCTTGAGTTGAAACTCCGAGCTCATCACCCATCAGCACCTGCACACTGGGGAGAAGCCATAACAAGCGCTTGGAATGTTGGAAGAGCTTCAGCTGGAGTTCCAGTTTTATCACCCACCAACATCTGCACACTTGGGAACAGCCCTACACCTGTGGGGAATGCAGGAAGAGCTTTAGGTGGAGCTCTTGCTTGAGCAAGAGGATCCACACCAGAGGATCCACACAAGAGAACCACCATACCAGTGTGAGGAATGTGGGAAGAGTTTCACTGATGTCTCCAGTCTCACTCACCAGTGCCTGCACACTGGGGAATGGCCCTACAAGTGTCAGGAATGTGGGAAGAGCCTTAGCATCATCTACTACCTGATCCGCCACCAGAAGATCCATACTGAGGAACAGCCTTACGAGTGTCCTGAGTGTGGGGAGAGGTTTCAGAATAGCTGAAATCTCATCAGGCATCAGGGGATGCACACAGAGTAGAGGCCTTTCTGCTGTACCAGCTGTAGGAAGAGCTTCAGCTATAGCTCCAGTCTCATCACCCACCAAGACATCCACAGCTGGGTGAGTGTTGGGAGTATGGGAGAAACTTCTGCAGCTCTGCCTGGATCTCACACTGCACCCATCAATAAAGGAAGCCCTTGTGAGTGCCCCAGCAGGGAGGAGGGGGAAAGAGCTTTGTTTATTGCTCCAGCTTCTTCACCCATTGGAAGACACACACTGGACGATCCACAGTGACCCACATTGTGCAGAGACCTGATGATACATATGCAGAGCTGGGATGCATTCAAGAAGCTGCTGGTTTTTTGAGGCCTGTGATGAACAGGGATAATTTGAGGAATGGGATGTTCCCCAGGTGACCACCAGAGACCCTTAAATGATGCCAACTCTAATGTAAAGGAGTTCCAAGAAGTGATTTAAATATGTAAAAGAATTTGAGGGGAATGTTTAGCATATATGTATGAGTTTGGGAAATGTATTAATATGTATTAGTTATATAAATACAAACAAATATGAGAACTGAGTGTGTGTGATAGGGGGAGTCATACCCTGCACACACCTAGCACTGAAATAAAGCTGCTTTCTAATAGTGAAATTACATGGTTAAAGAGATTAATTCCTGTTTTCAGTGACATTTTCTTCTTATCAGCCCCTCCCCCACACACAGCGGGGGGGGTGTTCGTGTCCCCACCTTGCACAGCACTGGGAGCTCCAGTCCTTGAGGGATATCCTTATTCCACAGAAGAATCTCCACATCCCTCTCCCCCTACGAACTGGATATGTCAGGAGACTCTGTAGTAAAAATTTGGGATCGGGCTGTTACAGTCTGAAGCCCTGCATTGTCAGTCAGATGTGCCCAGGCTGCTGTGCCAGCTCAGCAGCTTTGGAGAAGTTATCACTTGGTTGTTCCTTTATCCTGCTATTTTAAAAGATCTCCTGTATCTTATATCACTGTCATTCAACGCCAAAACCAGTGCAAACCGCCTTCATTTACCGCTGGCATGTTTGCAAGCAGGGCATTGTTTGAATTGTTTGACCCCATTCAGGCAGAGTATACCCACGGGATGTCCCTGCCCACTGTCCCACCCCCAATTTTCCTCATTCTCCCATTCATTTCACATGGTCCCTTCAATCCCCAGCTCCCCCTACAGCTTAGTTTCAGGGTGTTCCCCCACCTCCCGCTCGGTATTGGGAACTCAGCCCCTTCACACTCAGTTTGGAAGTCAAAAGATCCTCTTCTCCGCCCTTTCACACTCCCTTCTCATCATACATCAACCTCTAGTCTCCAAGTTTCCCCAGAACTTGGTTCGGGGTTGCCACCTACCTCGCACTAAATTTAGGGGGTTGATGTACCCCTTTCACTGAGTTCTGTAGATTCCATATCTCTCCCACTCCGTTTATGGGTCCCAGACCAAACTTTCCACCTCTTTCTCACTGCACTCAGATCCCCAGCCCACCGTACCCCACTCTGGATGTGGGGAGGTCCTACCCCACCCTTTTCCTATCCTGACCTGTCCTGGATTAGGGTAAATCTGGGAGAAAACCTCCAAAGGGGGCCCCTCAGAAAGAAAACCCACATGGCCCCTTCCCCCCACCGTTTCGGGAAGGATTCCTCGGAGAGAAGTGGAAAGAACCTGTTTATTTAACAGGCAAAACACCCCCAGCACACAAAATGAACAATACCAGATGACAACACTTTCACCGATCTGAAAAGGATGACAAATTCAGAAAGTCTTTCCTGGGAGTGGTCGCTCCCTCTGGCGCTGGGGATAGCTGCTGCAGCCACAAGGTGCAAACTCTTGGTGTTTCCCAGGTCCCAGTCCGGAGCAGGTTTGAGTGGTTCCAAAAAGGGAAAGGAAACACAGTCCAGGGAAAAAATCTGGACTGCTTAGCTAAGCTAACTAACAAGCAGAAGCAAAAAGCAAAAGCAAAGCAGGAGCACAGCAGAAGCAAGAGCAAAGCAAAAGCAAAAAGCAAAGCCAAAAAAGCAAAAGCCACACTATGTACTGCCCTGTCTCTGTGTCCTGCCAGCCGTGGGGGAGCAGGCTGATAACAAACCAGAACAAACCTTGCTCTTCAGAGCCAGTCTTGAAGGCACAGTACATAATATCCAGCATTAACAGAACACATGACTGGGGATACAAGCATCATGACCTCATCCTAGGACATGGCCTCACTGCTTCCCATCGTCCCCGTCCCTGCTTCCCCCCATTCCACACCCTGCCCCATTCACCCGAGCTCTCTGTGCCCGCAGCCAGGGGTGCTCCCAGTGCTCCCAGTAGGGCCCCAGCCGTGCGATCCCACAGTGGAGGGGTCCCCAAAGTGGCCCCAGGAGCACCAGACCAGCACGGGCCATCGGCGATGCCCGGGCAGGGCCGGGCTCTGCGGGGACGGATCCGGCCTGGGCGCCCCCATCTCCCCCCCCCCAAATTCCCCTGGCGGGGGTCGCTGGGGCCGAGGGGGGCTGCAGGGTCCGCCTGGACACGGGGGAGTCCTCATCGGCTGGGGCTGCATCAAGGGGACACACTCTGCTCCAGGGGGGATGCCCTGCAATCGGGGGACCCTCACAAGCCAGTCATAACCCCTCAGCCATCGGAGGAACCATGGGGTCACCCCAACCTCCCAAAATGAGGGCAAGGGGGCTCCACAAGCCATTTATAACCCTGAAAATTGGCAGAAAACAGCAAGATCCTCTCTGAAATGGGGTCATCTCATCCTGCCATAATGAGGGGGCATCACCGCAGCCCCCAAGAATAGCAGGGAGTCACCTCAGCCGCCGAAAATGAGCAGTATATTCCCAAAAGCCGTTCATAACACCTCAAACCTAGCAGAAAGCAACAGGGTCCTCCCCAAAATGGGCTCCCTGTACAGCTCACTTTTCCAAGTGCCAGAGCCACTGTCTCTCCCCTCTCCCACCACCCCCCACTCAGGATTCTGGGTACCCCAAAAACTCACTTAGGAAGGGGGGTGCCCAAAAATCCCCTCAGGAATGGGGAATATCACAGAATCTCTTCAGGAATGGCAGATACCCCAAAACCTCCACAGATTTGGGGGATACCCTGAAACACCCTCAGGGACATGGTCCCCCCCATCCTTAACATCCCCTATCTTTTGCTATCTTATTCCAGATCCCTTCTCACCCCTCCCAAAATGTATTCCAGCCCCTAACCTGCATCCCGCCACTCCCAATCCCACCACTCCTAGATATGAAGATCCCCTTTCCAAGCCCTATTTCCTCCATCCCATCCCACTCCTCCCAAACCCCATTCCTTTCTTCCAAACTCCATCCCACTTCTCCCAATCCAAATCCCACTCCACCCCAAACCCCATCCCAACCCTCCCAATTCACATCCCACCTCTCCCAATCCCCATCACACCCCATCCCACCCATCCTGGGGGTTTTGAGGGTTCTGTGGAATCACATAATTTTTGGGGTGGAATTGAGCCATTTTGAGGTGGAACCATGCCCTTAAGGGGTGGAACTGAGCTATTTTAGGTTGGGATTTAGCCATTTTGGGATTGAGTAATTTGGATGTAACAGATTGACCCCTCTTGGATTTGGACTGCAAAGCAATGGAGAAAACTCCAACATTTCTCCAAACATTCCCTAGAACCCCAAAATCTCAGTAAAATGGTGGCAGTTCAGAGGTTTTATTCAATTTTTTTTTTACCCCAACCTTGGGTGTTTTTAATGGATAAACAGGAATAAAAAAAATCAAGGCCAAAAGAAAAAGATTTACATGTCAGCATCTGTGAGTGTCCATGGAGTTGGATTGGGTGGGTGGAAGAGCCTTTTTTAGAGGGGTCTCTACCACATTGTGTTCAAAATTTTGGTCTTTGCCCCAGTCCATCACCATTTGGCTGTGCAAGATAACCATGGGCCAGAGAGAATTAGAATAATGGAATTATTTAGGTTGGAAATTACCCTAAAGATCATCCAGTGTTGCTTGATACCAGAAGAAGAAATGACTAGATGTAGCAGATGAGATTTTTTAGGGTTTAAGGTCAACAAATCCGCTCTTCCCAATGAATTTCCAACATCAGTCTATGTCCCAATGGATGTTCTTGTCCCTGTGTTCATTCAGGTGCCTATGGGGAACCAGGAGGATGTGGAAACCACAAGCCAGGTGTCTTCCAATGTGGATCACCAGGAACACAGGTCACCAGGCCTCTGCCCAACATGGATCGTCCAATGCTTTTCCCACAGTTGGAGCACTTGTTGGGCTTCTCTTACCAGTGGGTCCGTTGGTGTGAGGACAAAGCAGAACTCTGGGTGAAGGTCTTCCCACACTTCAAGCACCTGTAGGGCCTCTCCCCAGTGTGGATGCGCCAGTGCTTGACTAGGTCAGAGCTACGGATGAAGCCCTTCCTACAATCAGTGCAGTGGAAGGGCCTCTCCTCTGTGTGCATCCGCCGATGCATGAGGAGATCGGAGCTGGTCTGAAACCTCTTCCCACACTCAGGACACTCATAGGGCCGCTCCCCGGTGTGGACACGCTGGTGGATGACAAGGCTGAAGCTGCGGTTGAAGCTCTTCCCACATTCCAAGCAGTTATATGGCCGTTCCCCGGTGTGCAGCCGGCGGTGGCTGATGAGGTGGGAGCTCTGGATAAAGCCCTTCCCACAGTCCAAGCAAATATGTGGCCGTTCCCCAGTGTGGAAGCGCTGGTGGTATGTGAGGCTGGACCTCTTGCTGAAGCTCTTCCCACATTCCAAGCACTTGTAGGGGCGTTCCCCAGTGTGAAGGCGCTGGTGGACCACCAGGTCAGAGCTCTGGCTGAAGCTCTTCCCACACTCCCCACACTCGTAGGGCCGTTCCCCAGTGTGGATCTTCTGGTGGCGGATCAGGTGAGAGCTCCAGCTGAAGCTCTTCCCACACTCCAAGCACTTGTAGGGCTTCTCCCTGCCATGAAGCTGCTCGTGGATCACCAGCTCTGAGCTCTGGCTGTCTTCCTGGCACAGGGTGGGTCTTTCCTCCTCAGAGCTCCCTGGGCTGGGTTTGAAGCTGTGCCTCATGGGGGATCTCTGGGGCTTTTCCTCCTTGCTGACTTCCTGTGCCGTGGAGCTGTTTAAAACAGACTCTTCCACAAGGTTCTGACATGGGGATTTGTCTTCCCTGGTCTCTGTGTGCAGGTCATTCCCTGGGGGAGGAGGGAAGAAGGAGAGGAAGGGAAAGGAGAGGAAGGAAGAAGGAGACAGAAGAAAAAGGAATGAGTGAGTCAAAGGAACAAGGAGAGGAGGGATTGAAGAGAGATAGGAAGGAAGAAGGAGCAGGAACAGGGAGAGGAAGGAAGTGAGAAAGGCAGAAGGAAGAAGGGGAGGAATGAAAAAGGAGGAGAAAGGAGAAGAAGGAACAAAGAAGGGGAAGAAGGAGAAAGGAGAGGAGGGAATGAGGAAAAGGAAGTAAGAGGAAGGAGCATGAAGAAAAAGGAGGAAGGAGAGACAGGAAAGAGAAGGAACAAGGAAAAGAAGGAAGAAGGAACAGGAGAGGAAGGAAAAAGCAGAAGAAAAGGGAGGGAGAAACAAGGAGAACAGAGAAGGGAGAAGGAAGAAAGAAGGGGAGGAAGGAGATCTGCCTCTGTAGCAGAGGGAAGGGGAAGGACATCCCCCCAAATTCATACCCAGCAGGACAGCTGGGGTTGTCCAGCAGCCAGGGGCAATGCTCGGCTGGGAGATGAAGTAGAAGAGTGGGGGGAAGGGGCAGTGATTTCCTCCTCACCTGCCTGGGTGTCCCAGAGCATCTTCCTCTTCCTCTCAGTCTCCTCCTCCATCTGGCCAAAGTTAGGGAATGATAAATCCTGGTTTTGGCAGAATAAACAAGATGTGAGTGTGCTGGATTGGAGATTCCTGCTGCCAAATCCATTTCTAGAAGTCACTGGGCATCTTTTCTCTATAAAAACCCCCAAAACACTAAGACACAGCCCCTAAAACCCCAAGATTCAGCCAAAAACCCCTCTAAAATAGAAAATTCAGCCAGAAAAAACTACAAACAGCCAAGATTTAGCCCAAAAAACAATAAAAATACCACGATTCACACCCCCCCAAAACTTCACAAGATCAAGATTCTGCCAGAGAAAAATCTCCCAGGAGATCCCCCTCTCTGGTCTCTCCACTTTGGTGTTTCAATGGTCCCCCTTCTCCAGGCTTCTGGAGTTCCTCTGTGTATAGGGGATCCTCATTCCGGGATGCCAGGGGTCCCGAGAATCCCAGAAGTCTCCCCACTTTGAGGCTCTGGTGGTCGCTCTTCTCTGGGCTGCTGGGGGTCCAGTGTGTCATGCCCTCCCCACCTCCTTCGTGGCCCCCCTGCTTAGGGATACCGCGGATTTTGGAAGTCCTGTGGGTGTTTTCTCCTCTCACTACTATCTGCTTGAAGATGCTGGGCGTTCCAGAGTTCCCCCCCACCCTGGGTTTCCCACTTTGGCGTTCCCTGGGGGAGCCCTCTCCAACCTATCCTCCTCCCCTGGCTGCCGGCCGTCCCCCCTCTCTGGCTCCCGAGCGTACCCCCTCTCCACGTTTCTCCCTCTCCGTGCCCGAGCCCCCTCCAGGCGGCTGGGGATCCCCCAGCTCCAGTATCGCCTCTCTCCGGGGCTCCCCCCCACAGCTCGGCTCTTTCGAAGGGCCCCAAAGCCGGTGTCCCACCCCCTCCCAGGAGCGGGCGATCGCCACGAGGGCGGGCTAACAATGGAGGCGGCGGGCCCTGACCAGGAAAACCAGCCCGCCCTCCGCGGCTCCGGGGACCCGGCATCCCCCCGGCATCCCCCCGGGGCTCTGCGGCCAGCCGCCGCCGGGACCACCCCAAAAAAACCCACCGCCCGGGGACCCTCCACTATCCTCCTAAGGGGCATTTCCGGGTCAGCTTTGGATTCCCGGCAGATCCCAAGATCCCCCTCCCAGAAAACTCCACCAGGAACCCCGCGTGATATTTGGGGCGAGCTCCCGCTCCCCCGTCACCTGCGGGATGCGGAGGGGAGCACCGACGTTCCCAGGGCTGGGGGGCTGCAGCTACTACGAGCGGGGGGCTTGTGGCTCCTCCTTTTCCTGCCCCTGCTCCTGCCCCTCTTCCCTTCCTCTTTCCCGCCTCCTCCTCCCCCTCCTCCGCCTCCTCCGCCTCCTCCGCCTCGTCCCTCTACTTCTTTTTCTAAAGAATCCTTACTCCTCGTCGTCTTTCATGCGTCCTCCCCCTGCTTCTCCGTGTTCGCTCCTTCTTCTCCTCTTCCTCCTCCTCTTCCAGGCACCCTGCCTGTGTGTATACACTGGGAAAGCAGAGGCTGGAGAGCAGCTGCGGCAAGGGGCCTGGGGATGCTGATCGATGCCCGTGTGGACCTGAGTCAACGGTGCCCTCGCAGCCGGGAGGGCCGTCCGTGTGCGGGCTGCATCAGGCTCAGCATCGCCGGCCGCGCCAGGGACGACACTCACAGACAACACATACCGATGGGGATAGGAATTGAATTAATTACCTGTCAAAATAACAGCAGGATAATGAAAAGTAAAATGGATTCTATAAACACCTTCCCCGACTCCTCCCTCCTTCCTAGGCTCTCCCTCCTCCCTCCAGCAGCACAGGAAGATGGGAATGGGTGTCATGGTCAGTTCGTCGCAGCTTGTTCCTCCTCCTGCTCCCAAGGAAATAAATTTGGGAGTCCTTCCCCTGCCCCAGCGTGGGTCCTCACAGGGCCTCAGGTCCTTCCAGCAAAGCTGCTCCAGTGTGGGCTCCTCTGCCCAGGGATCCACAGGGCCCTGCATGGAGGCTGCTCCAGCACGGGCTTCCCACGGGCTCACATCCTTCTTTTTGGGCATCCCCTTGTTCCAGCGTAGGCTCCTCCAGCGGCTGCAGGAGAATCTCAGCTCCGGCACGTGGAGCAGCTCCTGCCCCTCCTTCTGCACTGCCCTGGGTGTCTGCAGAGCTGTTCCTTTCACGTGTTCCCATTCTGCTGTTCTCTGGATCCAATTCCATCGGCACAAGAACTTTTCCCTTCTTGAATCCATTATCCCTGGGGTGTCACTGCCATCTCTGTTTGACCGACCCTTGGCAGTGGTGTGTCTGTCCTGGCGCCTGCTGGTGTTGGTTCTGCTGGACACAGGGAAGCTTCTGGCAGCTTCTTACAAAAGCCACTCCTGTAGCCCCCCTGCCACCAAAACCTGGTCACACAAACCCAACACAGGCACTAATGAAAGAACCCTGGAAGGTCCTTGCTTTCTCTTTGGGAACTATTGGTCAGGTCACCTCTCATGTCACAGGTCCCACCTGGCCTGCCCCATTTGTCCAGCAAGACAGAAAGAAAAGAGACAAGAGAAAAGCAGGAGGTAGGAGAGAAGGAGGTAGAGAAAGAGCCAGAAAATGGGATCCTGGGAACAAAAGAAGGATGGGAAGATGCACCAGGATGGCAAGAGAGACAGACAAGTGGAGAGGGGTATCTGTAGTTACTGCAGGCTCTGCTTTTTGCACAGATGGAAACCTGGTGGCACCAAGTTCTGCTGGTGGGCTCCTGAAGGGAATGTCAGTGCCTTTCCTTGGGAAGTACAAGATCTGGGCCCATTGTTGCTGTGCAGGTGATGGCCACCCAGGGGAGGGAAAGACCAGCAACAGCTTTCTGTCCTGGGACCTTTTGTGTGGGAGCAATCCCCCGGCTTACTCAATTTTGGGAGGTGGGCTCTCTCAATGTCCCTCCCTGGGCTGCATCACAGGCCCCTGAGCCCTTTATTGTGCTGAGTCAACAGTTCATGGCCTCTTGTCTCTCTAGACTCCCCCCAGAGTTCAACCTGCAGCTCTACTGCAGCTGCCCCTGAGCCACCTGCATCAGGTGTGTTCATGACCCTGCAGGGTTTCCTGGTGCCCAGGGGACATTGTGACACTGCAGGGCATAATGGAAACAAGGGAATTGTATTGGGTTTTCATGGCCAGCTTTTAGTAGTGGAGGCAGGGGGCTACAGGAATGGCTAATGTGAGAAGCTGCCAGAATCTTCTCCCACATCTGGTAGAGACAATGCCAGCCAGCTCCATGATGGACCCGCTGCTGGCCAAGGCTGACCCCATCAGAGATGGTAGTGATAATATATTTAAGAAGGAAAAAAGAAAAAAAACAACCCACCCTCTTGTACAAATGGAATTGGGTGCAGAAAAGAGCAAAATGAGAGTATGTGAGAGGAACAGCTCTGCAGACACCAAGGTCAGTGGAGAAGGAGAGTCAGGAGGTGCTCCAGGTGCTAGAACAGAGATTCCCTTGAGATTGGATGCCCAAAAGAGGGCTGTGAACCCATGGGAAGGCCATGCTGGATGCTTTGAAAAGGATGTGATGACTTGGGAAGACCATGCTGGAGCAGACACCTTGCAAGGACCTCCAAACCTGCAGAGAGAAGAGCCCATGCTGGGACAGCTTTGCTAGAAGGACTTGAGGCTCTGTGGGCGATCCATGCTGGGGAAGGACTCAGACTTCTTTCCCTAAACAGCAGCAGGAACAAGGTGTGATGAACTGACCATGACCCCCATTCCCATCTCCCTGCACTGCTGGAGGGAGGAGGGAGAGCCCAGGAAGGAGGGTGGTGTTTTTAGGATTTATTTTATTTCTCATTATCCTGCTCTGATTTGGTTTGTAACAAATTCAGTTCCTAGTTCCAGGCTGTCTATTTTGACCGTAACTGTGGTCAGTGAGGGATCTCTTCTGGTCCTTATCTTAAGTCTTGGGCCTTTCCTTATATTTTCTCTCCTGTGTCCAGATGTGGAGAGGAAGGACAGAGTAGTTTTGATGGCACCCAGTATCAAGCCAGGGTCAACCCACCACCAAATCCTACATAATCCAGGACTGCAGGAAAAGCTTTGGAAGAAGCTCCAACCTCATCAAGCACCAGTTGATCCATACTGGGTAGACCCTCTGGATGCCAAAACTATGGGAAGGGCTTCACTGTGAGCCCAAAGTTCCTGGAACACCTCTAAGATCCATCTGGAGGAGGCCTCTAAAAGTTCTCTGGCTGCAGGAAGAGGCATAAGGAGTCAAGGTCCTGCCAGAAGTAGAAGGTGGTGACAAGCCTTAAGCCCAGGGCCCCAGGAGCACCTGAGGCTTTCCAGCTAGACTCTGCTGAGCCCCAGGAAGGGGCTCACACAGCCTCTCATTCTGCCTCCAAAATCCCTTGGGATCCCCCATCCATCTCTGCATTCCCCCTCCAAGATCTCCAGGCTCCTGAGATGAGCACAAAGGAGTGGAAGTCCCCGACTAGGGAGACCATAAACCCCAAAATTTTATCTCCATTCACAAATTTTCTGTTTTCCTCTGCTTTTCCCCTTTCCGTGTTCTGCCACAGCAGGTGGGAGCAGCCAAGAGCTCAGCGCTGCCCATCCAGACCTGCCCCAGCTCCATCCCTGCTCCTCCTGCGGGACACAAGGGGTTTTGGGGGGAAGGGTGGGCGCTGGTTGTGGGAGGAGGAGGAGGAGAAGGAATGGAAGAGGAAGGACGAAGAAGGAGCGGGATGAGGGCGGAGGTAAGAGGAGAAGGAGGTGGGAGTACAGAGGACAAGGAAGAGGAAGCGGAAAGGAATGAAGCTCACGGGGACAGCGCTGAGTGTATCCGCAGCCCCTCCCCTCGCGAGCATTGCCTGCACACCTTCATCCCGCAGGTGACTGGGGAGGGGCAGCTCGCCCCAAATATCTTGAGGGGGAGGGGAGTGTCCCTGGGACTATTTTATTTTTCGGGGGGGCGAAGATATTTCAAGTTCACCCCGAATATCTTGGGGCAGGTCTCTTGTTTTTTTTTTCGGGGGATGGGGGAATGTTTCGTCCTTGCAGGATACCAAAGCAAACGCCCCCTGGGAGGATTCTGCGGAGTCTCCAGGAGGTGTTTTTTTGTGAGGATGGTCCCAGGGGCGCCTGCCGGCCGTGGGCGGGGGATTACCCCGCCTGCTGGGGCTGCGCCTTGCCGGGTCCGGCCCTGCTGCCTCCGCTGCCAGCCCAGAGCTGCCGATGGCGGCTGGGGGGAGGTATGACACTGGTGCTGGGGACTCTCCCGGGAGAGCCGGATGGGGTGTGGGAGCACTGGGACCCCCAGAATGGGGACAGTGGAGAGGGGCCATACCGAAGCTTGAGGACCCATAGCAGCCTGGAAGCGGATGAAGAATGGAGAGGAGGGGGCCCGGTGAGGAGGGATCCTGAAAAGGGGGGAGTCCCGCCGGGACCCTGAAATTGGGAACCTGGAGAGGGGAAACCCCTGGGAGCCTAGAAAGGAGGGAGGAGCCTGAAAGGGGAAAGCATGGAGAGGGGGCACCCCCAGGAGTCTGGAGAGGGGTATCGCCTTGTAGCCCTGAGAGAGAAGGAAGGAGCCTGGAGAGGTGGGAGCCCTTGGATCCCCGGGATGCTGAAAAGGGAACCCTGGAGACAGGGGACCCCCAGGGGCCTAGAGAGTGGGGATCCTGGAGAGGGGTGGGTTATGACCAACCTCTGAAGATTTATAGTGGTATCTATCTGTCTGTCTGTCTATCTATCTATCTATCTGTCTATCTATCTATCTATCTATCTATCTATCTTTATGCACATTTTTTTTGAGAACTCCCCAATTTGGATGTAGTGGAAAGGAGGTAGGCAACCATTTTGGTTATGATTATCTACAGAAATGCAACAATATAAAAGCATAAAAATAACATGTAAGAAAACATATAAGGAAAAGAAAGAAAGAGAAAGAAAGGTTAAGAGTAGAAAGGTATAACTATCTGTGGATCCAGACATGGGACTTGACTGTTGCGATTTTGATGTTGGTTGAAGTGATGGTCACTGTGCTGATTTGCTGGGGCTGGGTGAGGCCCATGAAACACAGACTTCAGTGGGTTAATATATGCTTGGGGTTTTGCAGGAAGGTCTATGTTCTTCCCCTGGAAGGGGGAGTTTGCACAGTCTGTTGAAACACTGTGGATTTGTTACAACACTGTGGATTTATTGCAACACTAGATCGTATGCAGTGCTCTGGTGGAAGGCTCCAGAAATGAGTCTGCCCCATCAGAAGGGATGAAAACCTTCAGCCCTCTGTCTGAATGTTCCAGTATGTCTGAATGTCCCAGTATGTCCCTTAGGGAGGGGGGAGTTTTTACAATTGAGCCAGTTGTGTTAAGGATAAAATTGCCCTGCTCAAAAGCACTGTCCCACCTTGCTGGATCAGCTTCTTATAGGATTCTTCCCTTATTTGGCTCAAAGCCCAGCTTCTTGCTAAACCAAGTTTGATTTGTTGTGGTCATCCGCTGGGGCTCACACCCTCTGCATCTGGGCTGTTCCCTTGGACATAATCAACAAAGCTCCCCTGCTTTTACAAATGGCCAATTGTTTGAGCCATTAACCCAGAACATTCCAGTCTCTCACAGTGAGACCTTCAGAAGCACTAACAGCTCAGAGTGGAGGAAGCCTTGGGGCCCCCAGCAGCCCAGGGAGCCCTGGAATTCTGAAATGGTGAGTCTATAGAGGGGGGACTCCCAGCAGCCTGGAGGTGGCGGGGAGCATGGAAAGGGGGAGCCCCAGGACCCCTGTCATGATCCACTGGTAGGGGAGTGATGTTTGTTATAAATTTGCATCAAGCTAAACAAAGACCCGGACACATCTTACGTTTTGTTGTTCCCAGCAGTTCCATGAGTTCTCTCCTCCCACCACAAACTCCTCCAAGGCACTGGCTTACAAGTGTGTGGAGCAGCACAACTCCACAATGTCCCCAGTCCCACCACAGTTCGTGTGGAGAATGGGAGAGGTGTGCTTTGCCCAGGCACAGCCAGGGAAGGAAGCAAAGAATATTTCCAGTGCTTCAATCCTGTGTTGGTGCTGCCATGTGGATGGGCTAGAGCTGGGCAGAAAAAAAACAGAAAGAGAGAGGAGAGAGGGAGAATAAAGAGAGGCAGGGAAAACAGAGAAAAAAGAGCGAGGTTGCCTGATCTGCTCCCTTTTGTAGTTCACCTGGTGCAGCCTCTTGAGTAAACCAGACTTTTGGTGGGTTTTGTTCCTGTGGGTGCAGGTGTTCTTCTCCAGTGGGTGAGACAGGGGGGCTGAGCACAAGTCTTGGGGCAGAGCAGGGAGTTCCTAGAATCACAGAGTAGGCTGAGTTGGAAGGGACCCATCAGGATCACCAGTCTTTCTCTGGGACTTGCACAGAACACTCCAACAATCCCACCATAGGCTGACAACATTGTCCAAATGCTCCTTGAACTGAGACAGGTTTGGAATTGTGACCACTTCCCTGGGCAGCTTGTTCCAGTGCCTGACCAACTGGGGTAAAAACCTTTTCCTGATACCTCACCTAAACCTCCCTGACTCAGCTCCAGCTGTTTCCTTGAGTCCTGCCACTGATCACAAGAGTGGAGAGGTTGGTACCTGCTCCTCTGCTGCCCCTTGGGAGGATGCTGAAGAGCCCAGTGAGGTCTGCCCTCAGTCTCCTCCAGCTGAACGGATAAAGTGACCTCAATGGCTCCTCATAAAGCTTCCACTCCAGACCTTTCCCATCCTTGTGGCCTCCTTTGGATGCTCTCCAGTGGCTAAATGTCTTTTTTATGTTTTCGTGCCCAAAACTGCCCCCAGGACTCAAGGAGGCTGCCCCGTGCAAAGCAGAGGACAAACCCCTCCCCAGCCAGGCTGACGATGCTGGGCCTGATGACGCCAGGACATGGATGGCCCTCCTGGCTGCCAGGCACTGCTGATTTAGATCCAAGTGGACATTGACCAGGACCTCCAGGTCCCTCCCCACAGCTGCTCTCCAGTATCTTATTCCCCAGTCCATACACACAACCAGGGTAACCATCTCAGGTGCAGAATCCTGCACTCGCCCGTGTTAAACTTCACACTGTTGGTGATTGCCCGCATCTCTGATTTGTCGAGGCTTTTTTCAGGGCCTCTCTGCCTGTGCAGGAGTTCATAGCTCCTTCCAATTTAGTATTGTTGGCAAACTTTCTTAGTATTCATTTGAGTCCTGCCTCCAAGTCATTTATGAAGATGTTGAAGAGAACTGGGCTGATGATGGATCCCTGTGGAACCCCACTAGTGACTGGTGCCAGCTTGATTTCACCTGTCACTGTCACCCTTTGTGCCCAACATGTAACACAGTTATTCAGCTGTGGGCTGGAACGCGTCCTGGGTCTGGAGCAGGAGCAGCTTTTGAGGGCCATGAGGCTGGGGCTCTTGTGCTGGCATGGGCAGATGGGATGGCAGCAGGGGCTGCAGAGCTCTCAGGATCTCCTGGAGAGGGGAGCAGGGCACTCAGGGAGCCTCCTTTGGCCTTGGCCCAGCACCTTCCCCGTGGCTGGGGCTGAGTCCTGTGTGAGCTGCAGCTGCTGCTGTGCCCTTGGCAGGGGCTGAGGCCAGAGCAGCCTGGCCTGAGCAGAGCTGTGGGGCCAGAGCCAGCTGGGCTGGGCTGGGGAGAGGCCCTTGGTGCTGCCCAGAGCTCAGGGCAGCTGGCAGAGCTTGCAGGGAGCTGGGCTGGGCTCAGAGAGCCTGCCCCAGAAACCATCAGTGTCCATCTCAGCCTGGCTGAGCGTGCTGTGCAGGGCTGCTTCAGAACAGGGAGGGGGATTTAATACCAGCAAACGCTGATACTGATATTGAGGGATAAAATGGCTTCTTTGCCTGAGTCTTTGCTGGAAAGGTCTCTCAGATCTCTGCATTCAGTGAAGGGCTACAAGGAGGAGGAAAGCATGTATTGACAGGAACCTCACGGGGGGGGGGGGGGGGGGGGGGGGGGAAAAAAAAAAGAGGATGGGGGGGGGGGGGGGGGGGGGGGGGGGGGAAGGGGTTAAAAGCAGAAGATTTGGCAAGGAATAAAAAACCAAGAAAAACTATATTTTCACTCAAACATGACCTTGCAGCTGAAATATGCTAATATTTGGTGGGAGAAATTTCACATATTGTGATTGCTTTGGGTTGTTTCTGTCTGCTTTGAGAAGTGGAATTTCTGCAGAAGAGGATGTTGTAAAAAAGTCCTAAAATGCATTTTGCACAGACCTTAGGCCTCCTGGTGAGAGGGAAGAGAGATAAGAACCTCGGAGATTGCAAAAGCACAGCCTTGTGAAGAAATGTGTCTTTGATGGGCCCTGTGGTATGTTATGGCTGGGGAACGGGCTTGGCATGTGTTCTTTTTGCTCCTGTTAAGATGGAATAAGCTTAGGACTGTATATGTCCCCTTTTCCTAGCGTGGCGATAGAATAAATCTACTCTTTACACTTCAGCTATGGATTTTGGCTTTCTTGGTTACCTGCATATATTCAGTTCACACATTCATGAAATTAATGAAAAAAGGACAAATGACAGTATTAGCCCCTGCAGTGGCACCAGCTGGAGCTGCCTGGTTGGGAGTATCCCTGTGGGAAAGGACTTGGTGGACAAGGAGCTGGAGGCAGCCATATGCCCTGGCAGCAAGGAAGGCCAGGAGCACCCTGGTCTGTGTGACCAGGAGATTAAGGATATGGATTATCCAGGTTATTGTGCCTTGGTTTTGGTTCCTCAGCACAGGAGAGATGTCTGTAAGCCTGAGCAGGTTTAGTGAAGGGCCTCCAAGGTGGGGCTGGAGTGCCTTGCCTGTGAACAGGCTGTGGAAGCTGGACTTGGATTAGATCCAGCCATACCCACATTCCCTTCTGAGAAGTTTAGAAAGCCAGGAGGTCCTGGTTAGGTTTTGGGGGTGTTGGGGGTCCTTTCTGTACTTTACATCTCAAAAGAAGCTTCTCTAATAAACTTTGTTTTAATGAGGGAAGCACTGCAGGGGGGCACTGGGGACCAGTGGTGAACACTGTGAGCACTGGGAGGAAGCACTGGGAGCACTTGGAACTCTGTCATGTCCCCCAGTTGCCTTAGCTCAGCTTCCTACTTTGAGTGCAGGCTGTGTGGATCCCTGTGGTTTTAGGGTATGCCAACAAGCAGCAAGAGTTTGATTGACAGCTGGCATTTATTGGGGAGAGAAAAATGGAGTGGGGGGTGCTGAGGGAGCTGAGGGATAGATGCTGGAGATCTCGAGGTGTTGGGTTGCTGGGGTTGTCCAAGTGCGGGATGTTGGGTGACAAGGGTGTTGGGGATGGCCATGTAAGGGGTGCTGGGAGTGCTGGGTATACTGGATGTCCAGATGATGGTGGCTCTGTCTGTTGAGGGTGCCCAGGTGCAGGGTGCTGGGAGTGCTGCTGGTGCTGAGTGGGTGCAGCTCCTGTGCTCAGATGGAGATGCTGTTCTCTGTCTCCAGTGGGTTCAGGTAGTTGTATCTCAGCTCAGCCAGGTGGTTCCTCTCCTCAATCCGGTCCCGGATCTCCTCCAGCCGCCCTTGGAAGGCCCGGATGAGCCGCCGGGGTTCCGCCTCCGTGAACCACTCCTCCGGGTACTGTCCCAGGAGCCTCTGGAGGGAGACAGCAACATGGACCCTTCAGCTTCAACCCCTTGATGCTATTCGGGGGGGTCTCTGGCACCCTGGTAGGTGTGGAGCAATGGTGGCCATCCCCCAGGCTTGGTGTCACCAAAAGTGGTGACATCCACCCTTGTGGGCACCTCTTGCAGTTCCCCTGGCCCACAGAGCTGTTTGAGGGGCCACATGGGGACTGTGGGGCCAGACTCACCCTGTCCTTGAGTTGGGAGCTGAGGAGAATGAGGGCAACCAGGATGTTAGCAGTGGTGGCCACCTCAGGAATGGTGTCGAGGAAGTGCTGGAGGAAGGCCTGGCCCTTCTCAGTGGGTGGTGGGTGGCGCATGGAGGACGGGGCGTTGGGGACGAAGGCCCCCAGATCATACTGCAGGAGAAAAGATCACTGCAGAGAACATTCCCCCAAAACAGCAATGGGATGGGTGGGGACATCCTCCCAAAACAGCAAGGGGACAAGGGGGAACATTCTTTGGCACAGAGAGGGGGCAGATGGGAACATCTCAGCATGGCAAGGGAGATGGATGGGGACATGTCCAGTATGAAGAGGGGATGGATGGGGACATCGTTCTGGTATGGGGACCCATTGGATGAGGACATAGGGTGAGGACATCCTTCCAGCATGGGGATAGGATGGATGTGGACATCCTTCTGGCATGTAGAGAGGTGTGACATAGACATTGGTTCAGGAGGGGGACATCCTTCCTGCACACAGAGGAGTGGAAGGGGGACATGTCCCCAGCATGGCTGGAGGACACCTGAGGATATCCTTTGGGTCCCTCGCCCATGTCCCACCTGCCCATTGTTGACAGCCGCGTGCTGCGCCGAGCAGGTGAACATCACCATGGTGAGGAACTTGATGAGCTCCACCACTGTCTGCAGCGACGAGGGAATACCTGGGTGGGGATGGGACAGCCAAGAGCCTCAGGGACCTGCCTGTTGCCTGCCTTCCCTGGGGACATCCTGTGGCAGCCACAGGTGTGCTACCTGAGGAGGTCCTGCCCAAGAAACCATTGGTGAAGATGTCCATCACCCAGGCCTGCAGCTCGGTGTCCCCGCTCACCGCTGCATCCCCACCATAGTAGAATGTCACAATGCCGGTGACAAAGCTGCCATAGGGAAGAGGTGATTGTAAGATCCTTGGGCGTGCCGGACCACCCTCCACCCCCAAAACCAGTCTCACCTCTCAATGGCTTCCCAGAGGCTCATCCCATCGTCTCGGTAATGGTAGTTGGGGACATGGGACATGCCACGTTGTTGGATGTCATCAGGGAGGCACAGGGACGTGTAGGTCACCTGCTCCAGGCCTCGCTGCACCACCAGCAGCAGCCCTTCATAGGTCACCCCGGAACCCTAAGAGGATGGCCACCCATGGTTGGGGAGGTCAGGAGGTGCCAGGCTTCAATGTCCCCCAGTGCTCCCAGTATACCCCAGTAGCCCATACTGCTCCCTGGATACAAGTACTCCCAAGTACACATCCGGTGCCCCCGGTACTCCCATATACCCCCGTGCTCTCCAGTGTCCTCCACACCATGTTCTCTAATGTCTCCCAGGTCTCTCATGCTTCCCAGTGTCTCCTGGTGCCCCCAGTACACTACAGTGCTGCCCAGAAATTCCAGTACACCCAGTGTTCCCAGTACACACCAGTACTCCACATTGGTCCCAGTAGCACCCCAGTGCCCCCCAGTGAATCCAGTAGACCCCAAGGCTCCCAGGAGACCCTAGTGTCCCCAGGAGAATCCAGTACCTCCAGGAGACCCCAGGAGACCCCAGCACTGCCAAGACTCCAGTGCTCTCCAGTGTCCCAGTGGACTTCAGTAGTCCCCCAGTGTCCCCAGTACACCCCTGTGCCTCCCAATAGCCCAGAGCATTCTGTGCCCCAGCAGAGCCCAGTGGTCTCAGTCCCCAGGGCTCACCTTGTCAATGAGACCACCTTGGTTTATGAGGACACTGCGGGCCAAAGTGTTGATGTGCAGTGTGAAGTGGAAGTGGGGCATGAGGAGCTGAGGGAGGAACAAACACCAGGCAGGTGACCACGGACCCCTTCATGCAGCTGGGGGGCCGTCAGGTGGGGCATAACTGCCCTCAGATGTGGGGGCAGGGGGCAGCAGGTGGCCCTGAGGGAGTACCTTACCTTGAAGAGGGGGTGACAGGTGGGCAGGTGGCGCAGGGTGGCAATGGCAAAGACCTCCCCAAACAGGTGGGTCCTCAGCAGGTGGGTGAGGAGCTGGTGGCTGTAGAAGTCAGCATTGCGCACCCAGGTCTTGGCCAACAGCCAGTCCCACTCATCATCACTTGGCAGGAAGATGGGGCTGCGGGGTCCTGGTGTTTGGCTGAGCTGTGGGACACCAGACAGTGGTATAGGACCATTGCCACCCTCCTGACAGCAGGATTTAGGGTGGGACACCCCTACCTGGATGGCGATGGGGCGCAGGAGCCCATCGGTGCCTTGGTGAAGCAGGCAGAGTGGGGCCGCTATGTACTGCTGGCGCCCGTAAATGGTGTCGGTTGGGATGTCCTCCAGCACCTTGTAGTCCACAATGAAAATCCGACCTTCTTGCAGCTCCTTGTCCAGGTCAGTACCACCTCCCAGTGAGCCAGCGACCATCTCTGGTGTCACTGGGAATTTGGGCGGCAGTGTGGTGCAGCGATGGATGATGATGGGATTGTTGCCATTGAGGAACTGGGAACCGAAGAAGTCATCTTCTTGCCAGTGCTTGGCCACATACTCAGGGACTAAGGCAATGGTCAGACATCAGCACCCACTTACCCACCCTCCAGGCACCTTGAGTGATGCAGGGGGAAGGGCAGGGGACAACACAAAAGGCACCCACCAATGTCCCTGCCCTGTGTCCGAGAGAAGATGGTGCGCATCTCATCCAGGCTCTTCCAGGAGCTGCGTCTCAGTAGGAACCCTGACAGAAAGTGGGAGGCCCCTCTGCAGGGCATAGGGAGGCCCTCAGCACATTTCTTGCCTTCTCTGGCCTTTCCCTGCCATCACCCAGGTCCTCCATGGCCTCAGGGCACTGCTTACTGGAAGATGAGGAAACCAGTGAAGTTGTTGGCCCTGATGCGGGAGAACTGGATGTTGGAGTCCAGGTCGAAGATGGAGTCCACGTTGAGGCAACGGGGCCAGCCCTGGGCGAAGCTCTTCCACCTGAATGGGGGGGGGAAATAGGAGCAGACCTGAGCATCACTGCTGACCAGCCCACCTGGCCAAAGCAGGCCTTGTCCCCATGTCCCTGCTGTCACCGGTAAGCCTCCTGCCGTGCTGCCAGCTCTCGATGACGATGTTCCTTGAGGATCTGCAGCTTGTCGTCCACCAGCTTCTTCCCTAGAAAGAAGTGGGGGGTGTGAAAAGTCGAACCTCTGGCCATCAGAGGAGGATGGGGGCAGGGTGGGTCCTACCTGAGCCCTCTCGCACCTCCACTGTGGTGACCCCCTCCAGCCACTGGTAGCAGGGGAAGCGATACAGGGTGCCATTGGGAGCTGTCACCCGGACGTCCTTGCAGAACCAGGCATCCTCCAGGAAGAGCCGCCACTTATGCAGGCGGATGAGGACAATGGGGCCCAAGTCCTGCCCACAGTGCACAGACAGGCTCCTCTCCTGGAGAGGAAGAAATACCTTCTGGGGGAATGGGCAGATGCCCTGTGGTGGCACCAGGGACACCAGCAGAGAAGGGGCATTCCCACTTGCTTCCATTGCCTCCAGGATCCTTATCCTCCATCATCCCCTCAAAGTCCTTTTCTTCCATCCTCCCAGAACACCATTCCTCCAATCCCCCAGAACGACTAGCCACCATCCTCCCCAGATTTTTTTCTTTCAGACCCTGGAACCCCTTTCCTCCATCTCTCTCAAATCCCTTCTCACTATCCCCTTGTATCCCCAGGACAGTCCATGCAGCCCCTCATGTCCCCAGGACAGCTCTACCACCCCATGTGCCTTTTGTCCCTATCCCCATTCCCACCTTCCCTGGCAGGAACAAGAAGGAGACGGTGGTCTGGCGGCTCTCGCCATAGCTGCCCACCAAGGTGATGGAGATGGAGTTGTTGGTCCCAGCTTCCACCATGTCACCTGTTGCCACTGTCACCTTGTAGGTGGCCATGACAAGCTGCAGTGATGTCCTGGAGATGCTGTCAGAGAAGAGTGAGGGGCTGTGGGGTGCAAGCCTGCTGTTTTGGGTGATTTGGGTGTCGCAACCCCCATGGCCGTTGTGTAAGTGGGTGATGGCCCTTCCTCCTCAGGGAGGTGTTATCAGACCACTGCTACTGGCCAGTGTCCAGTATATCTGATCTCAACTGATGTTGAGGGACATTACTCAAGAAATGGCCCCGAGGATGGCCACAGGGACATTACCCAAGAAATGGACTTGGGGATGACTGCAGGGACATTACCCAAGAAATGGCCCTGAGGATGGCCACAGGGACATTACCCAAGAAATGAACCTGGGGATGACTGCAGGGACATTACCCAAGCAATGGCCCTGAGGATGACCGCAGGGACATTACCCAAGAAATCGACCTGGGGATGACTGCAGGGACATTACCCAAGCAATGGCCCTGAGGATGGCCGCAGGGACATTACCCAAGCAATGGCCCTGAGGATGGCCGCAGGGACATTACCCAAGAAATGGACCTGGGGATGACTGCAGGGACATTACCCAAGCAATGGCCCTGTGGGTGGCTGTGGGGACATTACCCAAGTGATGGCCCTGTGGGTGGCTTTGGGGACATTACTCAAGAAACCGTCCCATGTTCGTGGCTATGGGAACATGACCCAATCGATGGCCGCAGGGGTGGTGCCAAAGGAGGGGCATTCACCGTGGGCCAGGAGCTTCACATGCCCCCACTCAGGGTGTCTTCTGTCACGAACATCCCCAGCTGCCCTTGGCAGGCAGGAGACAGTGGCGCTAATTGCGGGTTTGGAGGTGGCTCTGGGGGCCAGGCCGCAGCACAGCAGCTCCATCGGTGGTTCCAGCGCTGGGTCTGGGGGCACTCCTGGGGGGTGGTGAGGGGTGAGTGGGACTCCTGGCTCCAGAACACCCCTGAACCTGCATTCCTGGGTATCGGAACTGCTATTGCCCAAAACCATGACTCCCATGAGCCCCACATCCTCTGTGTCGAGAGCCCCCTGCACCCCATTGCCTGGCCCTGGCACCACTCTCTATCCTCTTTCCCAGCCATCCCAGCTCTCCTAGCCCCCAGCCTCTTCCTTTCTCTTGAACCTGGCACCCCATGCCCATTCCTGCCTTTCCCAGTCCCCAAACCCTCCTTTCATCAACACTGGCAATGCCCTGAACCCTTCTTCCTGGAGATCTTGCCTCTCCCCACTCTTATCTCCACCTTTCCTTACCGTGGGAGCCCCCCGAACAGCAATTCCCAGCATCAGGAACCCTGAACCGCAATTCAAGAGCACCAAGATGGTCTGATACACTGTTCCATGCACAGAACGACCCTGAACCCCCTTTCTCAGCCATCCTGTATCTCCAGCCTCCAGACCCTCCTTTTCCTTCATCCTGGGACCCCCCACACCCCCATTCCTGCCTTTCTCCTTTCCTTAACACTGGGGACTGTCATGATCTGCTACTACAAGCGGGGGTCGTGGTGGTTAGTTAACTGATCTGAGTGCAAAAAACAACACAGAGGGGATTTCATAACTGTGTATAGGTTCAATGAGGGGTTCAACAATTAATTTATATGTTATTCTAACATCACCTTGTGTTACCATAAAGGGAGGGAAAACATTATTTTTGTCATCCAGCACTAGTTTTGTCATGATTTATCAGGTCTTCGTGTCCCTCGGAGTTCTTCTGTGAAAAAGTAAACACAACAGAATCTGCCACCAAGAGGCAGGAAATTAAAATGATGGGATTATCCAGTATGTATTTATCCAATGCTCTTTCCCCAGAGCATCAGGGGCTACCCATGCATATTTATTCAGAGAGATTTTTAGCACCAGTGGTACTTGCCCTATAATAAGGGAGGTCCACCAGAACAAGTTGTGCAGGGTAATGTGCTGGATTATTAGGATAATTTGGTGCACAGCCACAGCATAGGAGTCAGTGTAGATACAGACAAGAGAGGTATTCTGTACCTCACTTTGGAAAACACTGCAAATAGCTGTCAGCTCCCCAGTCTGAGCACGGCTTTCTCGCTCAGTAATAATTTGTTCACCAGAGGAAATGTGGAGGGCTGCTGCCCTGTATCTCCACATCTTCCCCTCTTGTTTAGCAGATACATCAGGGAACCAAGAATTTGCTGATTGTTCAGGGGAGAAAGGAGGGGCTATTTTAATTACAGAGGCAGGTTTATTTTGGCTGCTACCCAATTCTCAGTTTCTTGTATCGCTAAATTTTTTACAGCACCTTCTGTTATTGAGAAAATGTTAAGAGTAATGTTCAATATGAGCATACCACTTTCTAACTGAGGCCCTCTGAGCCACCTCGTCAGGTGGGGGGGGTCCCAGTGGTGACAGCCTTAACTTTGAAAGGGCCTCTCAATACAACTAGTTGTTGTTGTACCATTTTTTCCACTTCTATGGGAGCAAATTAACCACAAACAATCCTTTTCCCCAGGTAGTGTATATTTTCTCAGCATCTTTGAAACCACAGGAATAAAAACCAACAGGTCTCATCAGGCCCTCAGGACCCCACTGCCATAGGTGTACTGACAGCCCTGAGGAGGCAAATCCCCATTCCACTTAAAAGGGATCTGTGGGATGGACAGGGTCCAGTGCCTGATGAGCTGTTGCTTCAAAAATCAGCAATTGCAATGCTTCTGCCTGAGAAAGAGTCCAATCCCATTTCATCCCTTTCCTCAACAAGTCATAAAGGGGAACAAATGGGTCGTTCTAGTTACTAGGAAATCTAACTGGTGTTTCTACAGGAGATACAGCTACCATGGTTTTTTGAAGGAGAATTGTTGTGGGTTTAAGTGTTTCTGGAAGCCCTCGAATTAAAGGGAGTCATAATTTCAGGCTTTACAGGTAATTGCATGGGTGACTCATAGCCTGCAGTTAATTTTCTTTCATGCAATATTTGCAAGCAGGCACCTTTGTGAACATTTTCCAGGAGTTGGTTGGGGGGTACCAACTATGGCTAAAGGGTCTCCCCCTTCCAAGGGGTTAAGCACCCCTGCCCAATAAGCTGTGCACTGAGTTAGAGACCATGGGCTATGTCTGTCTCCTGTTGTGAAGAGCACCTCATGTCCCCAGTACCCACTAGCTTCTTGTTCTGACAAATGAATTTGGTCTCCCCTGGTGAGAGACACTCGAAATACGTATTCTGTCTCAGATTTGTGGGAAAGATAACTGTACTCCTTTTTTCTGTGCAGGTCAAGATCCTCATAAGTGAAATAGTTGTATTCTGTTTTAATTAGAGGTCTCATGCTAGAACAGCAGTGTTCCCCACAATTTTTCATCAGAGCTAATTCTTTTTGAGGGTAATTTTGATTAATGTGAGGAGTTTCCTTCTCCTCTGTTTTTTTTTGGGAATCAGAATTCTGTGAATTGTTAAAATATTCACCTCTCAAGGCAGCCCATAATAAATGGTTTTCATTTCTTTCTCATCTAATTGTTTTTGCAAAATTTCAACTAGGTTTGAAGGCAGTCTATTATAGCTTTTTCCTCACTTCTTCGCTTTTTCTATAGCTGCTGTAAGACAAGCTCCCAAAACTGAGCATAAGATATTTTTATTTTTGCCCTGTTTGAATTTTGTTTCATAATGTAAAGAATATAGTCTATCAATAACATTTTCCAAATTAAACCAGTTACTTAGTGCCCTTTCTTCTACTCCCAGAGAAGTTTTGCCATTGTGTTTAGCTAGTAGAGCATAAAATTCAGCTTTAACTTTTTCACTAGAGTTTTCAGTCATTTTGTGAAGGAATCAAAACCATGACAGGGAAGTACACTATTTAGATACACATACACACAGAGCTCTGCTGTATTTCCCTTTGCTTCCCTGGGTGGGTGAAGAGACAAAATCTGCCTGGGAGGTTTTGCTTAGTTACTCCAAGTTGTCCCTTTGCTTCCCAGACAGCCTAGATTCACATATAGTTTTCCCTTTTGCATGAAGAGATTTTTTTCTGAAATTCTGAAGACAGAATCCTCAATTGAGTATGGGGGTGCTTTTCACCTGGGCATGTGCAGTTTGTGGGAAATTTGAGTCACCCTCCTTCTGGAGTGAAACGTCCTTCCCCTGTTACAGACTACACACAACCCTGCAAACACCTCTGTCTGTCAGAATCCTGTCCGTGATGCCAATTTAATGTCACGATCGGCTAGTACAAGCGGGGGTTGTGATGGTTCATTAACTGATCTCAGAGTGCAAAAAACAACATGGAGGGGATTTCAGTATTGATCAAAACAAATGCATCTTTTATTGAGTGCCCACAGCAAATGCGATAGAAGAATTAGAAAAGAGATAAAGGAGAGAAAGAGAGAGAAAGAGGGGAGGGGAATATAGCTGCCAACGGAGAGACTAAAATCCTCGTGGTCCAGCCAATAGATCCATCTTGTCACATCAGGGAGAATCTCAAAGTCTTTAACTCAGGGGTCTATTATAGTGCTCCACCGAGGGGGGAACAGGTGAAAGACAATAGAGAATAAGTCCGTAGAGAACAAGTACAGACAGTACAGCTTGGGGCCCATTGTTTCAGGACTGGTTTCTATGGGAAACCAGTTTTGGTCCAGCGAACACACCTGCAGGCAACACTTGGCAAACATCCCGCTTCTGTCAGGCCAGCAGCCTGTGTCAGAATTACAGGGGTCTCAGTCTCAGTCCTTGGGAGGGGGCTTCAATCTCCGTCTGTCACGGTGGTCGTGAGGCAGATGAGGGATTTTCCATAGGGGATCACCAGAGTTACCTCAGAAAGTTCATTTGGCCAAGAGGTGGGGCAATTCCTGGGCTAGTGTGATGAGCGGGGATTGTGAAGCAGGTGTAAGCCAGCAGAGCAAGCCGCTCCTGGCCAGGCCCTGCTCGAAGCCGTGTACCATGGCGGCACAGCAAACAGCTGCAAACAATCACCCGGCGAGCATCCACCTCAACCAGGCCAGAACTCCAGCCAGGGTCTCCAGGGTCTTGGTCTCTGTCTTTGTGATGGTTGTGAGGCAAATGAGAGAAACTTCAGACCCTCTCTTACAGGGACTCCCTCAGCCCCCCTCCCCAG